TGTGTCCACCCAGGCTGGCCGCTGTGGCACAGACCCCACAAATCGTCTCTGTGCCCCCAGTTGCCCCCTCCTCCATGTGGGGGATCACACTAGGGTGTTGGGTGGCAGTGGGGCTGGATTTAATGTGTGATGATAAACTGGAGGGTGCTGGAGCCTCGTGTGTCAGGGCTGACTCCTCGTATAATTTTGCACTATGGTGACATCAGAAAATGTCACCATGGGAGGGACAGTCTCGAATTCCAGGTTTGGTTATGTCACTTTGTCACCAAGGATCAAGCGGTGTGTGTGTGCATTAGGGGTATGGGGAGGTAGGGCAGAAGTGTGGCCACCCAGTGTCCTGCTTAGCCTCAGCTGCATTTTTCAGGGTCACTCAAGGACTTGTAGGTGCCACTTGGGTTTTCTAGGGTGAAAACCTCTCCCTTATCCTCTCTTTTCAGGCTGAACCGCTCAGCCAGGTACAATCTGGAAAAGGATTTGAAGGACAAGTTCATGGCCCTGACCATTGATGACATCTGCTTCTCGCTCAACAACAACTCACCAAACATCAGATACTCTGAGAATGTCATGAGGATTGAACCCAAGTGAGTTGGGTGCTGATGCTGGCCTGGCCCCAGCTGGGAATGCCCGGAGCCCCTCTGATAGGCAGAACTTGGTCAGGCAGGTGCTCAGCAAGGTTGGCCGTGACGTGGTGACTAGAGGCTCCTTTCACTTGAAGACAGTGACAGAAAACCTTGAAAGATTTAAAATTTATTCTTTTTTTATCTATTCATGTTTTTAACAATAACAGATTCTAATAATACATAAAGGATGACTTAAGAATTTTCCACATCTGTCCCATTTTTCCATTTTCCAGTCCTTGAAATAACTAGAATTAACCCATAGGTTCATACAAATATGTATCCACACTCCACACACGTCCATTTTTCTTAGTTTACAAAAATGGAATTATACTGTATACCTTTTCTGTAACATTTAACCTGGGTTTTTCAATTACTATCACAACTTACCTCATGCTAATTTTTAAAAACTTTTTGAAATAAGACATACAGAAAAGTGCACAGATTATAAACATAAAGTTCAGTGAATCATTATTGCATTAATTATATTTATAACAAATTACTTCAAATATTAACAGCTCAAAGCAGTAAATATTTATTAATCTGATAGTTCTGGTAGATTTAGCTGAGTGCCTGTGGCTCAAGGTCTCCCAGGCAGAAGTCAAGCTGGCTGCTGGGGCTGCTGTCTATCTGAAAGCTGGACTGGGGTGGGGTCCACTTCTAAGAGCATCCAGGTGGTGATGGCAGGGCTTCTCTGTGGAACAGTTTTATGACTTGGGAGCTGGTTTCTTCCATACCAAGGGATCTAAGTGAAGGGGAAAGATGGAGGTGGGGGAAAGGAGGAGAGGGAGAGGGAGACCCAAAAGTGTGATCTTAGCACTGACACCTCTCTCATCCTGCTATTGTGAGAAAAGTTAACGACTTTATTTCGTACTCAAGCCAAGGAGCCTACACAAAGGTGTGAATATCGGAGGTAGTGATTGCTGGGGGCCAGAGATGGCCCTAGTCACAAAGTGGAAAATCTTTCATTGTTTTTGCCCAACTAGGGAACAATCAATCAATCATTCATCACTACCACCACAAGGCCTCTCACTGTCCCCTTCTGATCAATAATTTTCTCTACCCCCAAGGTAGCCCTCCTGATTCCTAATAGGTTTCTGCCTACTTTTTATCAAAAAAGCAGCATACGCTAGTATGTGTCCAGTTTCTTCTAATTAACATCATTTTGAGATTCACCCAAATTATTAATAATTTCTCATCAAAATAGCAATTTGTTCTTTTATTTATATCTTTCTGGGCTCATGGTTTCCTATTTTATTTGGTATGTTACTGTTATTGTTTGTTTTGGTGCTGAAGTTGCCCCTAGCCATGTGATCCAGACCAAGTGGCCTCATTTTTCTGAGACTCAGTTTTTCTCTCCTGTAAACTGGGGACTAGAAGAGTTAGCTCACTAGGCCACCATGAGGATCGAGTGAAGTTGTCCTGTGTTTAAGGTGTCAGCCCAGTGCCTGGCACTGTGTCAGGTGGTTCCCAAAGACATTGCATTGACTAACCACTCTTTGCTCTGCTGAGAGATGAGGGAAAACCTAGGTGCCTCCTATGATGGAGGTAGGCTTAGCTTCTGGTACATTTCTGGGAGCTTGTCCCCTTGCCTATCCCCAACAAGCTGTGAATGAACAAATATGCACATCATGTTCCAGCTCCGTGAGTCTGGAAGACTGGCTGGACTTCTCCAACACCAATGTGGAAAAGGCTGACAAACAGCGTAACAACTCCCTTACACTGAAGGCCCTAGTGGACCGAATCCTGTTACAGACAGCCAGTGACCTGCGAAAGCAGTGTGACGTGGTGGACATGGCTTTTGAGAATGGGCTCAAGGAAACCAAGGGTGCCAGGGACAAGCTGGCTGTTCATCTGGCCAAGGTGAGATCCCCAGGGTAACATGGAGCATGTGCAGGAGGTTTCGCCATGGAAATGCGAGTGCCCCCATGGGTGAGGCTGTTACACTGCTGGGCTTGTGACAGTGGGGTAGCTGGGGAGTCAGTCACATCTCTCCATTGCAGCAGTGGGCTTGGGGCTTTGGGGTACTGGATGGGATTTTGCCCCACTCTAGGGCTCCATTGTCACTCACTGGGGCAGAGGAGCACAGAGGCAGCAGATGGAAGGTGGCCACAGTGCTGTGCCTGCCTGTCTGACCTTAGGCATGCTAAGCCTCAGTTCTTCCTTACGTGACGGATGGAGGTAGATGCACAACCTGGGATCTGACATCCTTTGTGGCTCTGAAGGCCTATGAGTTGATGCCACACATTTCTCCAAACGCAGCTACCCCCTGATCTCTGGCCAGGTGTCCCTCCTGTTTATCCAGTATTGTGCTGGTAAATGAGCTTGCAGGGGTCCAAAAAAAAAGCTTTTGAGTTGTAGAATTTGCACATTTTCATGGTGCAAGTGTTCCTTCTGTGGTCATTTTTTTCAGAGCTGCTGAATAAATAACAACTGGAGCAGCTCCAGTTTACCTCCCTCACTGCCCAGGAGCTGTGGTCCTGAGTGTAGAGGAACAGCCCATAGGCTAAGCTCAGGGACACTGAGCCAGAGTTCAGTG